TTTTCACCACTGAAATTCCTCTGGAATTCAGTGGTTAAAAGGCCAAAAAAAGATAGTTTTAAAGGCCTTAAAAGATAGCACAAAGCTTAGCAAATAATCTACAAAAAGGAGAAGAACGCCTCTAACTCCAACAAGACCTTAAACAAACATTTTTAACACTGAAAAATAGAAGTTTTTATAGTTGAAAGCTAAGCCAAAAGAAGCATGCAAAGATGGCCAAACACTTGATCAAAATAAAGCTTAAAAGGGGAAGACACTCACCCTTGAAGTACAACTTTAAAATAGCAAGTAATTAGCCAACTTCTAAGCCAAAATCACTCCAAGGAGCTCCAACAAGGCCTCCAAGAACCTCAAGCCTAAGGTTAAGATGTTAGGCTAAGAGTGCTAGTGTAAATATGAAGAGAAAACACACTTTCAAGGCTAAAATGTAGAGAGAGAGAGGATTCTAGAGAGAGAGAGAGAGAGAGAAAAATATCTCAGCCAAGTTTTTTGTAACCCTTTGCATGCAAGAGGATGGCTTCAATATATAGGAGATACAAGAGCAATCCAAGAAGATCCAGCCATCCATGTGCAAAAAGATGGTCATCCTGCAAACAGCTGGCTCAAAAATATCTAAAATTTATCTGTTGAAATAAAGGTGGCCGGCCGGCCATCAGTGGTAGCCGGCAGGGCCTATTTGTGGCCGGAAGGGAAAAGGCCATGCCATGGCCGGCAGGCCATCAAAAACACCAATATGCAAAGACCAACACATGGTCCAAATATGAGACAGAATGGAAATAGGGTCTGGAAGGATCAAACCTGGAGCATTCCGTCGCGAAAGTTAAGTACTTGATGAGCGATCAAACTTGTTGCTGGATGTACCCTGCAAGAACATCCAAGTCTTGAGGACGATCAAAAATAGGATGTCTACAGACGACGACTGGTTTGGGCAGTAACAAAAGGACCCAGTTCATTCTTAGAGTTTCTCTCTCTCTCTCTCACTTTCTCGTGCGCGCGCGCAATGGTGGAAGCTGTGAGTTTGGTTTGCGATAGGTCTAGGGTTTCAAAGCTCAAGTTGCAATGGGAAATGGTGAGAGCCAACGGGGGGAGGAGAAACGATGGTGAAAAGAAGGATCAGCGCCCTGAAGATGAGGTGATGACAATAAATGATATCGTCGGTAGAAGTGGGTTTGGATGTTGGAGTCGAAGAGGGTACCTACGGCAACTATGAGAGAGGTCGCTAGTGGGGCTGAGTCTGAATGTTGGAGTTTGAGGTGGTGGTTGTGGCTGCCGGAGGTAATGGTGAGGGGTGGAGAAGAGTTGGGATTTGTTAGGTTTGGGTGTAAAGATAAGCGTATGATGGGTATTATGATGATTGTAAAGAGAAAATTGAATTTTTGTGGATTGTGTAATATAAAATTGAGTGTAATGACGAACTTTTGTTGTGTAAGTAGAATTACTTTATTTTGTATTGGATCATACTAATATCAATTCTATAGGCACTCATTAGAGTGGAGCAAATGTCAAAATAATTATACATTGAGCAAATTACCTTGATATTCCAGGGATGTTATCAAAACTACAATTCTTCTAACTAGTTTGAAAAAATGACACCGGCCTTCCTAAAAAACTTAATTGATTGTGTCACACGTAATTGCATGCAGTACCGTTTGTTTCGTGGATGGAAGTTGTTGACATGATCGATATTTAAACAAAAATATCAAAATTTTCCTTTTTAATTATTTTATTTTATTTGTGAGAACCAGTTATATTAAGGTTGATAATCACTTAATGGGCGATCATTAGTATTTTTCTCAGCATTTTAACTTTTCATTTTTGGTGGGCATGTTCTCACTGTCATCCATTGGGTGAGAAGGAAATCAACTTTGAAAGAAAGTGAAAACATATAGTATAATTTTTATTTTTCAATTAAAAAGTTGGAGATAAAATTAATATTTATTTTTAAAATAAGTAAAAACTGTATTTTTAAAATTATAAAAATTAAAAAATCAAAAAAAAATATGGAAACTTATTTTAAAATTTTTAAAATTTTAGAAACTGCTACACACCAAAATGAAAAAAATAACCTATTTATTATACTATTATTTATGTAAAAGGTTAGAGTTGGTGTTCACACTTTATTTTTTGAATTATTTTTTTTCTTCAAATCTTTCAATTTATCTTTCTAAATTTATTTTTATTTTTAAATTTTGAATTCAATTATTTAATTTATAAACTTGTTTTTCATAAATAAAATGATTATATGTGCACACGTCATTGTGTGTGTCGTCACTTTTAATACTTTTATATATATATAAAAAAAGGGACTCAATTTAATGTTTATGTCTCATTTTTTTTTTTTAATTTTTTCAAAACACCCTTATAACAATTTAGTGGATAGTTTTTCCCTAAATTTATTTATTTATTTATTCTATCACTCAACTTCTAATTTCAGTTTAAAAACAATTATACAATTTATAATCTTATTTTTTTTAAATAAAATGATCTCATGCACCGCATCTTCTAGTAATAATAATAAATACGCAAATATCACATTTTATTTCACAATTTGACCCGTCTAACCCAAAATACCAGGGTGGTGTGTACCAAATATAAGTTATATTATTTGTGAGTTTAGTCATCACAAATAATATAATGAGATTTACAACTAAAAAAAAAAAGGATTATGTTAACAAATGTAGGGTACAAGAAAAATATAAAACAAATTTAGAATCCAATGCACTTTTCATGAGTTTTATAACACATTTTAATTTTTTCGTCATTTCTAAAACACTTTTTTACATTAATTTCAACATTAAAAATGCATAAGGATACTTATTATCATTTTCTTTATAAAAAATTTTTAAAAAAATTGAGTTATAACTAAATATTATAATCATGATAACCAAAATAAAATCATAAGTTCATAACCAATATCATAACGTGTCATAACTACAACTATATGTTATAACTAAGATTGTTAAAATCGGGATCCTATGTGAGATTGTTGAAAGGGACTTGTAGATCGGATTGTAGAATCAGACCGAGAATCATAAGATTCTATTTTCAATATAAAATAAAATAAAAAATTATAGATAATGATAATATATATATATATATTGCTTAATTTTTAAAAAAAAATAAAAAATGATAATATCACGCCCTCAAAATAATAACATTAAACCCCCAATATAGACATGCACTTATACACAAAAGATCCACATCCTTCTATTCATCAGAATGTCCCATTACAAAAGTATTACATGTTAAATAAATAATAACAATATATATATAGAATCAAGATAGTTTGTGATTCTTCACAATTTTATAAGTAAAACCATGAAACTCGTTTGACCCAACTGAAATACAAATCAAAATTGTGATAAACATGGTTATAACCAACACCAACAACATGGCGTTTTTTCCTGACTATGCCAATCTGATAACTTTATTCTCACTCTAGGGTAGTTTTCTTTTTTTTTGGTTTTTTTCTTTTTTTTTTTCTTTATTTTCATTGTAGGTAAACTTGCTTTACCAATATTGTTTTCTGAAAAACGGCTTTACCAAATCCATGTTTCATGATTAAAAAAATAATAAAATTTCAATGAACAAAATTGACTTTTCAAAAGCCGTTTTTAGTTAACTTCTAATTAATTCTGAGTCAATTAAAAACGGTTTTGATAAAACCGTTTTCTCTACATTTTTTTTTTAAATTTAGATTTTGAACATAAATATTTATTATGAAAAATATATCTAAAACATAAAACGGCTTTAGAAAAACTGGTTTCATTTCTAAAACGGCTTTATGAAAATTGTTTTCTGGGAAATATTTTCTTTTTCTTTTTTCTTTTATTTTCGGGAAATATTTATTACGAAAAATATATTTAAAACATAAAACGGCTTTAGAAATATTTCTTTTTCTTTTAGTCAGAATGAGGACCACACTGATGGGAAGTCAAGGAATGGAGGAGGGTTCACAAAAAACAAAATTTGGGTGCTGAAAAAACAATCTCAAAGGCAAGTGGGTGGTTCGCTGAGACCTGCAGTTCTCGAAAGGAATGGAGGCCAATACAACGCAAATACAGGATAAACTCTCTTGCAGACCACAAGAAGCAGAACACCTATCTTAGTTCAAAACATCCGTAACTTGGGGTTCAGGGGACGAGGGCCCGGGGTACAGATGAACTACAATCTCAGATAGGACAACAAAAAGAATCTACTGTTAATGTCTGGAGTCCCAAACAAACCTAATTTTGAAATTGAAAATCTCCAATAAAAAATGAAAACCCTAATTTATGCAAAATAAACCTCAATTATGGATGATGGAAGGGAGAGGTGCGAGGATGTTTGTTGGTCTTCGCCTTCTTTATTCTTGCTACAGCTCTCGCGATAGCCTTTGTCTTCTTCTCCTCCTCCGCGATGCTCTTTGCATCTCTCTCCTCTTCGTTGTTTGATGAAGTGCAGTGTGTGTGTGTGTGTTGGACTATTGGATCAGAACAAAAACGTGGGTAGAGATCAAAAACCCAAACCAAAACAAATACAAAATAAAATAATAATAATAATAATAAAAAAATGGCAAAAACGATTTTCGTAAAGCCATTTTATATAAACCAGCTTTTTTAAAACCGTTTTATGTATTAAAAATATTTTTTGCAAACATATTTATTTTCAAAATCTATTTTTTTATATATATAAAAAAAGTGCAGAAAACGGTTTTACCAAAACTATTTTTAATTAACTCAAAATTAATTAGAAGTTAACTAAAAATGATTTTTGAAAAGCCAATTTTGTGCATTGAAATGTTATTATTTTTTTTAATCATGAAACATCGCTTTAGTAAAGCCGCTTTTCAAAAAGCGACATTGGTAAAGCCAGTTTACCCTACAATGAGAATAAAAATAAAAATCCATCCTAAAATAAAAATAAAATTGTTAGATTAGCACAACCAGGAAAAAAACGCCCCAACAACACAAATATCGTAACATGATACAAATGCTACACACGCCCAAAAATTTCCAAAAATGGCAAACCCAAATCACAGAGCAATCAATCAAATGGAAAAACTTTCCAGAAAGAAAGACCAAGTACTCCAAGTCGAAGAAGAAGAAGAAAGACAGGAGGGAGGTCGGTTCAAGTGTGCTCACATCCTCCTCTCATATTTACACCCTACAGAACTAGCTTCCATCACATCATCCTGCAAAACCCTAAACCACATCTCCAACTGCATCACCGCCTCAAGATCCTCCGACGCTTCCAGAGGCCTTGAGAACCTTCTCATCCCTTTCTTCAACCTCGTCAACCACCATCCCTACTCCTACTTCAACTACACTCTTATTTAGAGCCCATGTCCTGACCCAATCGACCCATCTCGTTCTCTTCCGCAGCCTTGGGGCTCTGACCCGATTATCACACCCGGCCCGTTTTCCTGTTGGGTCTCTGATGCTTGTGGGTGCAAGTGCAAGAGGTGTGATGATGGGGACTCAGGATGCTCATGCTCGGACCTGAACTTGTCCGAGTTGACTCACGAGTACAGGCCATTGGGAAGTGGAGTGTGGGAATCGGTTGATTCAGAGAGGGGTCTGTGTTCGATTGAAAATTGTGAAAAATGGGAGGAAAAGTTGGGCATTGCGTACCGGTAAGATCAATGGGAGTGGCCAATTTGTTTATGAATATGTAGGTATGAACTGTAATGTAACAATTTGATTTCACGTTTATAATGTAAAAAGAAGCAAAAAGAAAGAAATTTTAAAAATTAAAGAATAATAAGAACCATCATGTGATATTAATGCAGACTAAACTAGAATCGACCAGGCACACCTCAACTTTGCAAATCGGTGAAGTTCCCTGACCAAGCAGCCCATTCATAGGAGTTGCTCAAACCAGTCGAGCAATAAATTAACCTTAGTGGACACAATAAAATCGGGATAAATGGGAAAGTATCGATTTATAGTCGGTTCACCTGGAGATGTCGTCGAGTTCCGTAGAGAGTTCAACATTCCAGATCATGTTCGCTTTGAGCTAGCCAAGAAAGGTGATACTCCTTGGGGTAGATTGGATACCTGCCCTTTCACCGTCGTGTCCATAGTAGAAGGAAGCTTTCGCTTCTCGGTCCAGCCCCTAGTTTGTGAGTTTTTGAGGCAGACTAGGTTATGTCCAACCCAAGTGTCAAACAACACTTATAAAATAATAAATGGCGTCGCCACACTAAATCGTATTCTCGGTCTGAACCTCGGTCTGGCCGAGATATTCCACCAGCATACACTAAGCAAAAATAAAGGAGGTTTCTGTTGGTACCTCAAAGTTAGAAATGGCCGAGCAAAACTTGTAGAGGACGATGACTTTCATTGGGTGTCTGGGAATTATGAAGATACCGAGGTGTCCATACCAGGCTAATAGATACGTAAGGATTTCGAGAATGCCGGTGAGCATAATAGCACCGTCCTGATTTTCTTTTGAATGAATATCCTCACCAATCTAACACTTGGCTTCATTTTTTGTGCAGATTATAAACACTTGGCAGACAATTACTCGTACGCCGATCAGCAAGCCATCCGAATTGCGTTGTGACATTTGGATCGTGAGTGCCATAAATTGCTGGAGTACGAGTTGAGCTACCAGTGCAGTGTGCTCCGCAAAAGTAGGGTTACTGATTTTTTACGCGCCCCCCCTCTCTAGAGCTTGATCCAACCCTTCTTGAGATCAATCTAGTGCCGCTAACTGCTGAGCAAGAAATGGCCAAAATCTGAGCCATTAAATCTATGATCATCGTAGGGCCGAGTGATTCTCGACCAGTCAAGACAGCTGAGGGACAATCTTCGCAGCCGGTCGCGTAGGAAGTTGGACTGATGCTGGCCCTGGCCAGGGAGCCAGGTTCTTCTCAGCCTAAGAAGAGGTCGAGGCAAACAGTGGCTGAGCCACATCTGATCGACGAGGACTTGATCGAACTGCCGGCTACTGATAAAGGGGAGAGGTCCACAGAAGTCATGGCCAAGCAATCCACCCGCTCTACTGCCCTCCAGTGTGGTTGCCCGAGCTGAAATACAAAGGCCGATCGGTGACCACAACTAATTTCGTCTATGCTGACAAGGACAACTCGCTAGGTTTTAACCTGACCAAGGGTTTGCTTTTTCTGACGGACATGAAGAAACATAAGGAGTTGTCTGACCTAAAGGTCCTTAGGTCGGCATCCAAATCTATAGTTCTAGCAAGGTCACTTGCTTTTAACTTGTGTAAGTTATTGCTTGGTTTTCTTGTACTAATGTGTCACCTTTTGTAGGCCGCGCAAAAGAACTATGTCACGTACGAACGCATGATCGCTGTGCGGCGAAGTCTGCGTAAGGCCATCGTAGATACTAAAGAAAAGATGGCCGAGCTGTTGAAAGTGAAAGCTACTCTTGTTGCCATTTCGGCCGAGTGAGACCAGTTGGTCGAACGAATGGCTAGGGCGGAGGAAGAAAAAGAAAAGGCCATGCAAGCAAAAAAACGAGGTATATTGCCAAGATGAAAAAATATCGCGATGCTCACAAAACCGAGCTAAAAGAGAAGATTGAAGACGCAGAGGATCGTGGCTTTGTGGAGGGCGAGCGAGCGTATGAATAGCAGGTGGAGGCCACAAGAGACATATTCTTTCAGTGCGGTTGGAAGGCGTCCGTGGAGAAACTTGGCCACGCGCCTGATTCATAATTCTTTAAGAACCCTCCACTGGCCTTCATACCGCCACACATGAAAACTATCACGCCCCGAATTTTAATTACTCGAAAACATTACCAAGCTTGTAAATTTAGGTCCATTTTTTTTTTTTATACATATACAAATATCTATTACACTTGAGTAATAGAAATACAATGATACATGTTCTCTCTCTCTCAATGAATATTACAATGACAACAATACATACCAGTCTCCTACTGTGTTACAAATAAATAAATATAAATACAAAATCTATTTCCTTTACATCTACTATGAAGTTATACAAAAGGACTCAAGAACTCCATAAATCTTCAATCCAATAATCCAAACTCTCTTCCTGTAAAAAGATAAAAACAACAACGGGGTGAGCACTAATGCTCAGTAGGAATCTCATAGTTCTCAATCAATAACTAACACACAGATAGAAATGATCATGCATGCAAGGTGATATCATATAGTAGAGTGACATTTTATGATTTCAAAATACCATAAGTAAGGTACCTTTTTCTCAAAAACTATTTAAACATTTTCAAGAAAAACCTTCAGCCATTAAAATCATCCCTTAACCTTAAAAAAACATAGACCTTTGTGAAACAACCGTATTTAAGAAAATAATATCATTAAAAAGTTATTAACCAATTCCCAAAATATTTCTCATTTAGTTTCCATTTTTAATGTTCCTCTTTTTCTTTCATTCTTCCTTTCTACTCATTATATTTATTTAGAACTCCATAACTTCAAGTTCAAGTTTCCTTTTTGATTCACTAACAATTCTCCTATACTCAATTCACACCGTTATTTACACTCTCAAATTTCATTTCAAGGTAACACAAGGTGAACAAACCCCTTTCAATTCAGTCTCTTATTTATTTTGCAGAACAATACCCATAATTTACCTTTATTGTCGTAACTAATTCATTAAGTTTACCATCACCAATCCATAATCCAATTACCACTTCAATTTCCATTCTTTCAATTGATTTCATATCAAATACCGGATCTAATCACAAGTCATCTCCATGAGTCACACGCTTTACCGGTCGCAAGCCGGAAGGAATGCGGAACCTCACGCTTTACCGGTCACAAGCCAGAAGGAACGTGGAACCTCACGTTTTACTGGTCACAAGCCGGAAGGAACGCGGAACCTCAACATACCACACGCTTTACCGGGCGCTACTCCGGAAGGAAGGCGAAACCTATCTCAAGCACCACGCTTTGCCGGCTCAAATACGGCGGGAAACATACCCCAAGATAACATCACAATCCATTATTACAATTAGTGGACAATGCCAACACATCTTCCATTATTTCCGTAACACATTAATTGAATATACATCCACCATATATTAAAATTACATTCACATAACAAGTACAAATATGTTCCACGACCTTCTTCATTATCCATTAAACCATTCATTGTTTTGTCACACAAAAATATAACAACACCTCCATAGAGGCAAAGATTCATCTTTAAAATATTCACAATTCTTGGGTTCAAACTATTTCTTTACTTTTCCTTATTAACATCAAGTCTTCAAATTCAATTTTTTTTTTTTTAAACACATTGATTATCAATTACTACCCATGGTTATAAATTAAATCTCCAACATTTAATTTTCTTTGATACAACTCCTTCATATAACATCGTCATATTTCACAATCTCCCATTTATCATTATTCACACTCATCTTAACCCAAAATAGATTTAGTTTCATAAATTAATGTTGATTGAAGTATCCTTATTTTCCAAAATGAAAATCCATAACCATTGTTAAATATAAAGTTTGACTTTTAGTTTTGAGGTACAGAATCACTTTCTAATTACACAATAAAATTCTTAAATCTTCACTTCATCATCTTATCACAAGTTTCGTATCATCTTTCAACTCCCCCCCGCGGTTACCAACACAACACCACCCAACACAACTCAAACACAACACCACCCAACACAACTCAACTCAACGCCATTCAACACGATTCAAACACAATTCATCATAGTCCAACACAATTCGGTTCAACATTATTCAACGCAACCCAACATAATCAACACAATTCAACATAATCAACACTATTCAACATGATTCAAGGTGGACTCTTAAACCTCTATTTCATCATTTCATCCCAAGCCTTATGTCATCCATATCATTAATAAGTCATTTCCCCAATCTTGATTTTATATTATAGCATAATTTACAATATCCACAACAAAGGTTCAATCGCTAATTTTTAACATAATTTTGAAACATCTCCAAAATCCAATCAAACTTGTACATATAGAATTCAACCTACCAATTTCATGATTCTAATTTCAATTTGGGCAAAATCATTATTTATCATCATGAATCAACCTAGGGTTTCAAGAAAATTAAGAATTTTAAGAAAAATTCAAACTTCTTAAACCACCACTTTTTATTCCAATTTTTCCATTAATTAAACACCTAAGATTCATAACCCACCACATTAACCCAACAATTGAACCCACCAACACTTCAAACCCTAAACCCCCAAATCTCAAGATGTACACTATATGCTCAAAAATGTGGGTTTTGTATGTATATAATCAAAATATCACAAATCTATCTATTTATGGAAGTATTGAGGAAGAACTAGGACCCCTACCTCAAGAATCAAGCAAAGGAGCAAAGCTTTGATGAGATTCTTCCACAAATCCGAACTTCAATCGGTTGAAAAGTATGATCTTCAAGCCTTCTTCATTTCTTTGTAAGAGATCTTAGCCAATCCTTAGGGAAATGGAAGGTATTTGAGGTCAAAACCCTAGGGTTTTCGGACCTAGGGTGAGAAGGATGAAGAGAGAAGGTAGAAGTGTGAAGAATGATCTAGAAAAGTGATTTTAAACTTGCTGGATTCGCACGGTTCGCTCGAGCGAATAAAAGCTCGCTCGAGCGAGCATGCTTCCAGCACAGAAACTCAAAATTCGAACAGGTGTAAGTTTCTCATTCGGACTTCGTTTTAGGTCGTTCTTATGTCCAAATTGAAGCCCCGGAAACAAGCTTCCCAATGGTTCCAACCTCACATTCAAATTCAAAGTATGGAAGGAGAAAAAGGCAAAAGAGTGAAGGTTGATCAAAAACTCAAACTCAAACTTTGGGCTTTTTATCTAATCTTACCTAAATACCTTGTTAAGACTTCAATCAAGGT